AGACAGACAGACAGACAGACAGATATGCAGAGATACAGAGATACAGAGAGGCAGACAGACATACTTGTACATAATTATGTATACATACACATATTACCCACATACACGCACAGAGACATACCGACATACCAGCCTACAGATACATACATACATACATGCGTGCATAGAAGTGGGAGCCAAAAAATGCGTGCATACATACATGACGGAGCTGTCACGATCTTGCTGAAAGCCTGGGTAGTAGGTGCGGAGATCTCCAGCTTTGCCTTGCCGGTTGTTCGTTGGAAGGAGATGGACGCGGCATTTCTGCTTGCCGTCGAAGCTCCTGTTCACGACTCGATCGGATCCGACAGCACCTCGTGACACAAATCAATTCGGGACAGTGGAGCTAAGCTTCCGATGTAATGCCCCGTCCCATCAAGGCCTGAGACCAAAGCTGGCGAAGAAAGCCTGGAACCCTAAAACCTCTCCTAGAAAAACAGGAAATGTAAGGTTGAGTTCATGAGAAAATTAAGGGTGTGAAGACGAGTATCAGATTCAAAGTTGGGGTCGATGCCCTTGACACTCAGCGGCGTGTATGTGAACAGCTGTGTGTTTTACACGGTTCGCCAAATTTAGTTGCAGGAGTGGCATCTTACAAGATGCAGCAGCTCTACACAAGAAGGTATCACTGCTGAAAGACACGTGCACACCAATGAATCAAGGCTTCGCAGAAGTCTTGTAGATATCCAAGGGTTCTGCGTCGTTCGTTAGCGACCAGTATACCGCAGCATCTCGAAGCAACGTTGGAGGAGTAATTGAAGATAGAGATGCGAGTGGGCTATGATAGCAAGCTTCCGCTGCAGCGACAGGACTCTTTCCCACCTTACTCAGGTTGCGCACCGGCACGGTAAGCACATGGACCCGTGTTTTTTGTAATCAGCATTACCCCCAACGAAATTTGTATTCGCCTTGCTGTTGATGCCGTCAGTTCCGTGCATCGTGAAGGTTCTAAATATGTTTATTTGCAGCTCGGCGCATACAGTTAGTCTTAGCTTCCTCGATGGCTTACGCTCCGCAGTGTTTTCCCACATCAGTAGAGGTCCCATTGCAATGGTTGATCCAGTTAATCCGCAAAGCGTGGAAGCTCAGTCCACAAGAATATGGTGCAGCGTGCGGTATAAAGCACGCCAAGAAGACCTGAAGAGATCTGACAAACCTCTTCATTCTCCACCGAAATGAACAGCTCCAGTCTATCAGTGGCAGTGCTGTCGTGCGGAGTAATGGCAGCAACAGAGTAAAACACAACAACACTGTGGCAAATAACCTGAGGCAATGGCAGGGGAGCACTAAGCTCAGCAGAAGAACTGCCCGCGTTGTCCGTTGCCATCCCGCCCTCACGTCTCTCGTCTCGGTTTGGAGTCGGATCTAAACCCCTAAAGCGCCTCTAAGCTTTTCGGCCCCAGGCTTTGATCCGAGCCCAAGGCTTCGGAGCTTTTGAAGAGAGGTTTCGATGGGGTGGTTTGGAGTCCTCTCCTGTGAGATATTCAGAGCAACGTATGCAGCATAGATGTCCACTTTCTGCAGCTTTCTTGACTCCTTTGGCATGCAACAACCACACTTTGCAAGGGCTCCGGGTCTAGGAGTCTAACCTGGAACTTCGTTTGGTCAGATACAGCAAGGTTAACCTTTTCTTCTTGGCTCCTGCTTGGTTTGCCATTTGCTTGCTCAGATTTCCTTCCCTAGCAGGTCCAGCCCCCAAGCTGGACACAATCGAGACGACGGCACATACGCACACACACACACACACGCGCATCTGCAGCCGAGCAAAACCGGCAAACGTTCGCAAGAACCAAGCCAGAAAACTGTTGAGATTGGCGGTCTGCGTGAGTTTACATAGACCTGCTACTCACTGTGGTTCCCACCATGCCCATGTGTCCTGTTTGATCTACTTATATCTACATGTACTGGAAGCCTGGGTTGACTCATAACTGCGACAACACTTGAGTCGTAGCACAGGTACTGATACCAGCGAGAGTGCAAAAATTTCTGCTGCGGTTTCGCCTGCATGCTACTGACTGCCACTGACTACTGGCTACTGGTTCTTGCTGCTGCAGCGGTTGCTTACTCCTAGTCTTCTACTACTTATTATTATTACGATTACTACTACTACT